AGCCCTATGTGAGCTTGAGACAGACCTCAAAAATCTTGGCTTGGCCCCACATAAAGCCCAAGGAAGAGTTACACATTCTGGGGACTGCTCCCCACAACCAGCTTGAATTTGGCCACCCTGTTTTTCAGGGAAATCAAACACATCTGTGTGGATCTGTTGATCCATTCAGCAGATGGATCTTTTTGGGATAGCAAATGGTCCCCGGTGTGTTCTGTTTACTACTACAGCCACAGCCAGGCTGCACTAAGCCGCTGCCACTCACAGTGCATCCTCAGAACACAGGAGAGCTGGAGGCATGGGTGGGATATCCTGCACAGGCCCTGGGGGCAGCTCTTGACATGGGTGCCTGGTGCAGTTGCCATCACTCTGCCTGCCTGCACAGGGGGCAGGGTCTCGCCTGCTTTGCTGCCCCAGCTGGGAGGATGCCCTGTGTCATACAGGAGATCCCTGGGGACTGGGGAGGAAAAGGAAGGCCCTCTGCAAGCTGACCCTGCATAACAACTGCTCTGAAAGGGAGGACAGGAGGGTGACAACGTGGTTCCTTCACATCTGTTTGAGTTTCCCCCCATCTCTCCATGTTCCCCCTTTACTCCTTCCATCAGCTGCTCTCAGTGCTGGGCTGTCCTCACCTTTCTCCATTTATCCTGACCCACACCAAACTTACGGTTTGAGCATCTCATATGTCATTTAAACTTGTTTGTGTCTTTGTTTTTTTTTATCTCTGCAAGGGTAATTCATTAAGACATTTGAACTTCTGGGGAGTCTCAGTCTAGAGATCCTCCCCAGCACAGAAAGCACATCTCAGACACCAGCTTTTTTCCCAGGGATGGGCTGACTGCCATGGGAAGAGCCTCCAGAATGCTCCAAGTTCCCTTCCAAACAACATCACCAGTTTGGACCTCTCCTTCAACTCCTTGGTCATGCCCCATCACAGGACTCTCTTGATGCATTTCCCTTCCCTGCACAACCTCAACCTCTCTAGCAATGCCCTTCTGGTGCTGAGTCCAGCAGCATTCTCTAACCTTGGAGCACTGCGTCTGCTGGACCTGAGCAGCTGCAGCATCACCTACCTCCACATGGATGCTTTCAAGGGCCTGGGAAACTTGTGCACGCTGCTCCTAAGAAACAACAGCCTGCGAGAGCTTGAGGTCTCTTTGTTCCTGCCACTGAAGGTGCTTTTCCACCTGGACCTGCAGCAGAATGCACTGGTCTCTGTGGACACGTGGAGCCTGCAGCTGATGGATGCAGTCCCGCAGGTTCGGCTGGAAGGGAACCCCTGGCTCTGTGACTGCAGCGTGCACCCTCTGCAGCAGTGGCTGCAGCGCAGGCAAGGTGAGCACACAGGGGCAGGTGGCACAAGAGGTGCTGGGCAGGAGGAACTCTGGGGCAAGGGTCCCACTCGATCCTTTTGCTCCAACCCCTGGGCAGGCTTCCCTGGGGCATCTCCCACCTTGCTGAGGGACAGTGGACTGGAAGGTGATGTGTCTCTTCCTTGCTTGCAGTTACACATGATACCAAAGATTTCTGGGAATGAGAGCAGGATAGTTTAGCCACTCTGCTGGGAAAAGGGCTGCATGTATGCTTCAGCCCCCAAATCCACCTATATGTATCCATGTGGAGTGACTAAATTTTCAAGAGGTGTTGAGCTCCTCCTGTGGAGCTGGATTAGGCTCCAGCCCTCTTGAGCTCACCTCCTGGGAAAGAACAGCCCTGTGACAGTGGGGTTTCTATCAGCATCCATGAATTTGGCATTATCCAGCTAAAAGAAGCCTGCTAATCACAGTCACACACTCTCACAGTTCCTTGGCCAGGGAACTTTTCCTTTGGTTCTGCCTTACAATGTGCTGAGGGCCAGGGAGGCTGGAGGTCAGACCCAGGAGCATCTTGCGAGGTGTTCTTATCAACACAGGAGTAAGCAGGCATTGTCTTGTCTAAACTGGGGAGGGGATGGGGGCAGACCCCCTGTCCCACCTTACCCTGTGTGTCTCCCAGCTGTGCAGGTGACCTGTGCATCACCCCCGTGGCTGCGGGGCCGGAAGGTCGCAGCACTGGATTCCCAGGATCTGGGCTGCTGGATGAAGCAGCGCTTTCCTCGGGAGGTCAGCACGGTGCAGCAGATCACAGTGACCTACAGCAACAGTGAGTTGTGCGGCTACAAGGGTGTCCATAAGGTCTATCACCCTCCTCCCTTCTATCACCCCAGAGGGACTGCAGGCAGGGACCCGTGGCTCTGCCCCACTCCCAGGGGCCACTGATGGTGCAGTGATTTGGTGGGGAAGGTGGCCACCACCTGTGAGGTGTTTGCTGGCTTTGCAACAGAAAAGTTAGCAGATGCCACAAAGCAACCCAGAGCGTAGACCCTGCAGTGACTGGCACCAGTATCAGCCAGCCAGCAGTTTTTCCCACAGGTTCTTGATAGCTAGCTCTTAGTGAATAGCATTTATATTGTTCCTAATGGAAGCAATCCTATGCTGGCTACATGCTGGAGGCATATACAGGGCTGGCTGCTGAAGAGCACTGGATATGCCCAGGCTGACCTGCCCTAACCCTGATGATATTTCTGCACTGCAGCCACTGCACCACCGACTGGGAAAGGGGGAAGGAGCTGGCCGTACCTGGTGGGCTTCCTGGTGGCAGCAATTGGCATCTCCATCTTGATCGCACTGGCTGCCAAGTGCAAGGTCTTCCACAAGAACTTCACCAGCTACCACCACTGCCCGCTGCCCGAAACCAGCTCGATCGGAGGCAGCCCCATGGAGGACAGCAGCAGCTGGGACAGGGGCTCCTTAAGCCAGGGGGCCTGCGAGAGCCACCCAATGCCTGGTGCTGCCGACCTGCAAGGTGAGGATGACGATGGCTTCATCGAGGACAACTATATCCAGCCAAGCGAGCAGGTGCCAGAGGACGAGGAGCGGCAGTTGCACCTCTCCATCTGAGCCTGCAGTCCAGCAGCCTCTCGCTGTCCCCTCACCTCCATCCCCATCCTGCCCTTTCCCACCTTCCCTCGGCATTTAGCCCCACAGGGCTGGGGGCAGGAGGAAAGCAGTGGAGAGGAGGGGAGAGAAAGGGTGGGCTGGGAATGATGATGGAGGCTGAAGGCATCCAACCCCAGCATGATGCCAGTGGGGATGCAACAGCACAGGGACACCGGACCTGCTCCTGCTCTCCCAGCCCTGCTTGGGTGCTGCTGATGAAGAAGACGGTGCCTGTTCCACCCAGGTGGTTTGGTGGAGTGGGAAGAGAAGCCTGCCCTGGTGCTCTCTGCAGGGCCTCAGGCATGAGCCCCACTGGTGGTGCCAGACACAGCTCCACTCTGTCCTTCAATATGTTGTCACTCCAGAGTGTGATTAAAAGTGTGATTAAAGCCTCTGTCTGTGATGGTTTGTTGGGGCTCTCCTGGTGACAGTGCCAGGAGGAGACCCGTCAACCCACAGCCAGGGTGCGGATTCTTCTGCATGTGCTTTCAAGGACCACCAATGGATTCCCTGTTAACTGTGGTGGTGAAAGAACAGGTCTGTGGCACGAGTGTGCTTGTGCAAGCCTATCTGTCACCCACTGCTGCTTCATCACAGGATTTTTGTGCACATCTTTACAGTGCTGCTTCTCACCCCTCCTGCTGCTTTACAGCGCACCCTTTCCCTCTTTTCTCTCATCCCTCTCCACCAAGACATGCTAGGAAAGCACTTACCTTTCCCATGCCAGCTCTGCAGAGCTGAGCAAACTTGTTGGCAGCTTGCGGCGTCAGGCAGGCACGTGCACCGGGGCGAGACCGCCCTGTCCCCCGGCACCCATTGCAGCGTCCCATCTGTATCTCTAAGCATGGATTTGGATGAACATTATAATTTTTGCATTCCTGTCATGTTTGTGGCACGATAAACAGCACATGAGACATCGGTAACTGTGAGTTATGACCCAGGCAGTCGTGTCTGTGTGGGTCACACTGGAGTTAAAAGCAGGAAGCAGCAGCAGCGTTTGCCCTCCTTAGTAAAGTGATTCACAAGCTGGTACCATCTGGCTGGGCAGAATTCCCAGAGCACAACCTGGTTGTTCCCGTCCCCAGTAGCTTGGAAATCTCTCTTATCTTGCTCCAGAGCATGAAACATCATCACAGGAACAGCATTTCCTGAAGCCCTGGCACATGGCTAATTCCCCATCTCCTTCAAACCTCCGTTGCACTATAAACTGCCTTTCTATTTCTGTGGTCATGAAGACATTTACAGAGCACAGTGTGTACAAAAGTAAATAATACATGTCAGAGAATGTAAACCAAAGGGAACAACTGGGTTGGGCATTGCATGAGCAACACAGGCCAGTGACTTAGAGCACCTTCCAGAGAGGGAATGTGCCATTAGAGCCACAAGGAGGAAAATCTGCTGGCTTGTTTTGGTTGTTAAATAATGTATTTCTAACCTGACATTTATTTCTGCAATCACTGCCTCATGTTTTGCCTCCTGGGTTCATCTTAACCGCTCCATCTGAATTGTAGCACACACTGTATATATATGTAATATATGCTGTAATTTCTTGAAATTGTGGATACCTTTCAGGTAAAATAAGATACTTCAATCTGAGGGCTGGGAAAATACATTTCAATTCTCTTTCGAGGGCAATTTCTGGGCTTTTCAACATGCTTTTCAATCACATGAAATCACTCTACACTCAGTATTTTATTTAGGTCTCAGTGATGTCTTAAAAGAGATTAAAATACAAGTGCCCAGGCTTTTTTATCCAGGATTTTGCACACTTTCATCCCTCAGTGCCCAGTGGCCGGTTGCTTGTCTACTTTGACCCTGTTTTTCTGGTGTGCGGGGGAGCGTGGCAGCCCCTCTGACCCCTCTCCAGGCAGCTCCAGTGTTAGCAGGCAGGAGCCTGGCAGCCCAGTGGTGGGAATTGCATCTGGCATGCGGAGCTGGGAATACAAGGGGATCAGAGCAGAAAAAGAGGAGCCTTCTCAGGGGGGTCCCCACAGGAAGCAGTCAGAGGGCCCCATGGTTGAAGCTGGTGGATGGGAGCAGTGGCAGGTATGCAGGCAGGCTGATTAAAGGGTCGCTGCAGGCAATAGCTGATGCCATGAAGCACAAGGCTCGGGCTCATCACAGGGTGAAACAGCTTCTCTACAAACCAACTGGCATGGACATCATCAGGAGGCTTTGCATGCACCACGTGAGCATCTTTCAGAGGCATGGCAAGATCTTCTGTTCACAGTGGTGGTAAGGGGGACCAGCTATATAGTTCCTTGAGCAGAAGGAGATGCATGTGCATCTAGAGGTGCAAGATGTGTATCAGGAAATAAGTTTATGCATGGGGGGGCTGTGGGGGCATTGCCACACTCACTGGTAAACCAAAATCAGAGTTTCAGGAGGGACCCTGGGCTGCCATGGTTTTTGCCCCAGGCTCTCTCTGAGCAGAGGCCAGTTTTGCATAGTCCTGCCACCCCTGGCTCTTCAGAGAGGCCAACACTCAAGCATCAGCCTTCAACACAGTTGATTTCTGCAACACTTTATTAAGTATTTCCACACACAACACAGGAGCCAAGAAAGGAGCAGACCAGTACCGCTGCTGCAGACAGACTGTGACTGGGGCAGCCGGACACCCAAACTGCCATCTTCAGGGACAGCCCGTTCTCAGACAGTATCTCCTTGTGTTGCTAACACTGCCCACAAGCATCCTTTCCTGGCATAGTTGATGGGCACTTGGGGCACATTTTGAAGGGGCTATGGAGGGGAGGATTCACATTGGAATGTAGGCAGCACAGAGCTGTGAGCTGGGCACAGTCATGCACCTTCTCAGGAATGCCCAGATGTGCAAAACAGCTGGTGTGCAGGCAGCTGTGGGCTGCCCACATGTGCAGGCTGGGGGAGCTGGGAGTAAGAAGCAGAGGTGGTGTAACTGCACAGGCACTGATGCAGATGTGCAGAGCAGCAGCAATGGCGATGGCATAAAACTGTCCAGCTCTGGCTTGTTCCTCCCTGTGTATGCACAGGGGTCCCTACTGGACCCAGGGTCAAACAGCCCAGAGGGGTAGGAGGGCTATTTGCTGAGGATTTAGCATAGGAGGATCTGAGCTTAGTAACACCCTTGGAAATCTTGGGCAGATTCAGGGAAATGATTCAGAGAAAGGAGGAAACAGCAGTTGAATAAAATCTATGGATGATGGGAAAGTGGCAGAGGAAAATGTGTAAATAACAAGTCCAGAAAGAAAAGCCAAAATGCTGCTCCCATACTTTGGGAAAAAAAATCCAGGGCTGCAGGTGTAGGAAAGGCAGCAGGAGCAGGGCAAGAGCAGATGAATACAGAAGTGCCCTCATGTGATCAACTGCATCAGAGATGGTGTGGTCTAGAGCTGTGAAAGGATGAAGCCTTCATTGTCCAGTGTATACCTGGTGGGGTTCACTGATGCTGAACTCTGACACTGCTTCCAGTGTAGGTGTAGCATGGACAGTGATTCATGCTGTTACTAAGGGAACGAGCTACCGTCCTCTTCCAAATAAATTTGGTACTTAGGCACCAAAAAATAATAGCTCAGTCTTGTTCCATTACAGAGGGAACTTTGCAAATAATGAGCAAAAATAATGGCTGGGGCAGAGCAGCTCAGGTGAGCGGGAGATGGGAGCAGACATGAAGAGGAAGAAGAAGAGAAGGTTTTGCAGGAGCAGCTTTGCTAGGAGGTTACGACCTGTGCCTATGGAAAGGGCAGTGAAATGGTTTGTGGGTCTTTGGAGGAAGTGAGAATTTTGACAGGTAAATTAGTTGAAAGTCACGGGAAAAGCTCCCAGGGGTGAGCTGTTAGTCTGCCTCTGGGAAAGACACCTCGGTGATAGACATCTTGTAGAGATAAAACACCAAAAAAGCTCCAGGTAAAGGCCGAGTGGTAGCAGAAGGACTTTCCCGCCCTGCAGCTGCAGCAGCACTTGGGAGACAGAAGCAGTGTGGGAATGCACAGGGTCTGGGATGAGCTCCAGTGCTCCCACAGCAGCAGGGGTGCCTCTGCTTGGGAAACTCCTCTCTGAGGGTAACAACGCTCCCCCGTTGTACTGCCCTTGCAGAGCACCGGCCCAGCCCCAGGATTTGAGCATCCCATCATCAGCCCCAGTGACTGCACTTTGCTGTTTGTGGCTCATGTGGCTGGAGCACGCTGGCATTGATAGCAGAGCCCCAGCACAGAGAAGCACTGATACCACATCGAGGCCCTGACTCCAACACCTGTTGATCACCCCTTTGATAAACCACAGAAGGTGGTGGGCTGCAGACATGTAATATTGGAACAGATCCCAGCACTGCAAACACAAACAGCATTTCATGTGAGGTCCAGCCATGCCGGGGCTCTGGCACACGGAACCCCATGCAAATCCCACGCTTGCCCTGACAGACACACAGGTGCTTTCTCGGGAGCAGCCCCTGCAGCGCTACCTCCCACCAACCTCCCTTCACTTGCACTGCATGCCTGCTGACATGCAGCGTTTCCTGCCATTCATCACCTGCCACAGGCTCTACTTTGCTCGGTAGCTGTCGGCTCTGCACAAAGCACAGGGCAGTTTCATGCAACCCTCAATCACAGCTCCAGGAACTGCAGGAACCAAGCAAGTACCAGGGTCCCCATGGGTATGGGACAGGCTCACCTTAAAGCTGTGACAGGCACCACAGCGGAGCAGGCAGCAGCTGTTGCAGGAGGCTTTGTGGAGATACACCACCAACCAGGCCAGCGCTGAGCTCCTCATGTGCCTGTCCAGGTGCCCCAGGTCCCTGCCGTGCCATCAGCCTGGGGCAAAGCAGATGCCAGTCCTCTCCGAAAGAAGTGTGAGGCACATGGCAGCACTCCCATTTCCGTCAAGGAAAAGCCAGCACCAGCCCTGCTGACAGGTTGTATCCAGAGGCTCACGCAGAGGTGTCCTGGGTCAGATCAGGTTGGCCATGCTGGAGGTGGGAGGAAGCCGCCTGTTAGGAGCGAGGCGGCCAGAGATGGTGAAGACACGGATCTCGCCGGTCTCCAGGCTGTGAGGAGCGGCCTGGCGGCAGGACGTGCAGAGCAGGTAGAGCAGCAGGCAGAGGAGGATGGCGCTGCCAGCAGTCAGGAGGACAACCCCACTGGTGAACATGCTGGCCAGCGGCCGCGCGGGGCTGAGCTGCATGCTCGTGGTGGAGAGGATGGTGAGCACCACCCCACAGACCAGCAGCACCAGGGCGCTGAGCAGCAGCACCAGGCAGTCGGAGAAGCCGCCGCTCTTGAGGAGCTCAATCTGATCCCGGCTGCGGATGCAGTTCATGTCCTGGATTGCAGAGCTCAGCAGCTGCTTCAGCAGCACGAGCAGGGCCAGCAGGCACAGTGTGGTGCCCACAGCCAGCCGCCACTCCCCGGACCGGCTGCTGGTGCTGTACAGCAGGATGATGCCCCCGATTCCACAGGACAGGATCAGTGCCACGGCCACCCCGTAGCACAGGATGGACTTCTTGGGGTCCTGGAACCACCAGAGCTCCACATGCTCCTCCAGGATGTTCCTCTGGATGTGGTCCGCGTCTGCAGGGGTGCGGGGGCTGCTCAGCTCCGCCAGCTCCGGCATGGTGTGTGGGTGGGTGGGGGGGACACGGTGGGGTGGTTGCACAGTTGGATCTACACCCTTACAGTGAAGAGAAGGGTCCAGACGTCAGCGGTTGCGAAGGCAGCTGCATTTCTCAAGCGGGGAACGTCTCTGTCTCATTCTTTGGAGCTGCCCTCTGCAGCTGTGCCACCTGGAGAGCTATGGTCCATGTGCTGGGGCTGAGCCCACCCTCCAGGCAGGGCTGCAGCAGGCAGTGGAGCATCCCTGGAGCAGCACCAGAAGGGAACAACCAGGGCCGCGTCCTTCCTTTCCTGTGTCTTTCATCTGGAAGAGTCAAGAAGAGAAGATATTAAACAGAGACCCTGCTCCCCTGTCCCAAACAATCCCCTGCCAAACCCAGGGCCTCAGTTGCCCCAGGCTAGCCTGCAGAGCTCCCCCTGCCTCCCTCACAAAAGCCCCGGGCACTGGAGCATGGATCAGCCACGCACGTCTTCCCGGGAGACCTCCACACACTGTGGGGACCTCAGCCTGCCTCAAGGACGAGTCTCCTGCCTCCCCAGCCCCTTGTGCCCAGCTCAGAGGCTACTGGCACATGGCTGCCCGCAGGACTATGCCTGCAGCTGGTGCTGGCAGCAGGGCAGGGACGGAGCAGAGGCAGGTCCCCCGGGGATAAAGCCCCATTCACAGCTCTGGCTTCACATGCTCCTTCATCAGCATCAGCCTCTTGTCACCAACTGGCTCTGCTGCCCAGAAGGACAGCGGGAGGTGGGGGTCAGGACCGGGGCTTAACCCTTCCAGTCCAGTCCCTGGAAGAGCAAGAGTTGCCTTTGCTGCATGTTCTGAGCCCTGTTCACTGTTCACTGCCAGTGGTTCCCCCTCCCAAGTTCCCTGCAGAAACACGATGGTCACATCCGCAGCAGTCTCAGCACTTCCCTGGGAAGAGCCCCCAGACAGCTGGGACCTGGAACCCTGTGATTTAGCTCTTCTTTCTGCTGGTCCCTGAAGCCCTTCACCAATAGAGGGGAGCAGGGGAACGGCAGTAGTGGCAGCAGCTTGGAGGCAGGCTCCGTGGTGCTGGGCTTGGCTGGGCTCCCCTCTGCACAGCGCAGCTTCTGGGGCTCATCACCTCCCCAGGGTCCTCGCACCCCTCAGTGCTTCTTTGGGCACAGTTTTACAACAAGAGTGGAATCCACTTTCATTTCTCTTATATCTCATCCTGGTACAAGAGTGTTCCAACTGGTTCCACAGTACCAGGGGGAGCCTCCAGCACAGAGAGCACCCAAAGCAAGGAAAGGTGGTGATGAAGACAGCATGGGAGCATTTCAGGTTATAACTGAGCCCTTTAGACATGAAGCAGATCCTGCAGACCCACAAACTGCCTCCTGGTCACTTCCCAGGCAGGACGATGCACCCTCAGCCATCACAAACACACACATCAACAGCTCTGTATCCCATGGGAGCTTGTGGAGGGGACAGAAACTGATGCAGATCCCCTATGTCAGAGCTGTGTCACTTCTCCCGAGTGCGGACAGCCACGCAGCACCCTGCCTGATAAAACTGGCTCTCCAGGAGCCCGTCAGCCTGTGCCAAGCACACTTTGCCCTGATCTGCACAGCCCTGGGACTCTGGGCTCATTACAGATGGGTGGGGATGATGTGTGACCTCCACGCATGGCAGCTCTGCACACAGCAGGGATGTTTCCTCCCACAGCTCTCCTTGTCCTCAAAGAGTCCCCTCATCCCCTTATGGCAAGGCCTTTACTACCAGCAGGCACCTGAAGATCACTGGGGGCAAGCCAATGTGGGCTGAGGGGGGAGGGAAAACAATAGTGTGGGGGTGTCCGAGCCAGACACCGCCTGTCAGTGTCAGCCCAAGCTCCTCCTGAGTCACTCCCCGGCTGTGATGGAGCATGAGGTCACTTTGGACGTGGCTCAGGGCTTGCTGCCAGCTGGCAGCACGTGTCCAGGAAGTCTCCATCCAGCCCGGGTTTGCAGGCCCGTGACCCGTGGTGCTGCGTGAGCTGCTGCGCTGCTCCCCTGGTGCTGCGGTCACCTGGACACAGAAACACAGGCTCCAGAGGGAGAGCTGCAGCTCCTGGCTGGAGCTAGAACAATCAAAAAGCATTAAATAGAGAGGGGAAAAAGCTGTGGTTGAGTGTGCAGATCTGCGACTGCTGAGACCCACTTTGGTCTTGCATCCAACAGCAGATACCTTGAGCTGTCCACAGGTGCCCAAGAAGGTGAGGATGTCACAGGGCACCTTCAAAGTAGAGGGGAGAGAACATTTCCCCAGCCTGTGCAAACTAGCTCAGTGATTATCACTGCTTCCTCCTGCCTTTCCTTCTCCAAGCACAGAGGTTCCTGATCCCCTCCTTACCAGAGAATGGGTGAGTCCAGTAGACAGCAGGTTTGTAGATTAGATTGAGAGTCTGAACTAAACAAAAGTGAAGCTTGGAGAAGTGCAAAGTCTGTGGCCTTCTGCTGCTTGGTCCAAGCTGCACACACAAGTTGTGAGTCAAACAGTAAGCAAAAAACCCCACAACAGCACAAATCACAGTGAGGAAAAAGGCAACCAGAAATCAAGCAGCGGCGCTGCATTCACATGTTACTGTTTCGTATTTAACCATTTCAACTTTTATTTGCTCAGAAGAAGGTCAGGGAACAAGATGAAGCCCTTACAGTATCTGGCTGCAGAACAAAGTAAAATGGGATGTCTGTGAGCACTGATTATCTCGGTGTTATATTAAGGTCTATTGAATGAATGATTTTGAGAGGCAAAGGCTTCTGCTGAAGTATGCCTCCATGCTTCTTTATGTCTGTTCAAAGTGTTCTGGGAATATAATAGTTTGCTGTAAGCACCCACACTTGCTTGGGCTTCTCCAGACTGGGAGGGTTTGTGCTGCTAATAATAGTATCTGAATCACAGAATAATTTAGGTGGGATAGGACCTTGAGAAGTCACCTGGTCCATCCACAGGCTTAAAGCAGAGGTAACCTCAGACTGCTCAGGGCCCCATCCACTCAGATACTGCCAAGGATGGAGGATGCACAGCCCCTCTGGGATCATTCCAGTGTTTAACCACCCTCACCACAAATGAGTTTTTCCTTAAATCTAACTGCACTTTCCCAGCGTGGGTGCATTGCTTTCTGTCCTTAACATATGACTGTGTTAAATCAAAGCAGCCCTATCCTAGGCTATCACCCACCTCTGCTTGGAGAGGTGATGAAACTAGATATCACAGCAAGCTCGCTGGTATGGTTTCTTGGCATTATGCAGCACATCAGTTTGCCCAGGTCACACTGAGAGAAAGGAAGGGCTAGGGATCCCTGTCTGCCATGAGGAAGGGCAGTCTTTCCACAGCAGTTGCCCCTTCTATTGCTTTGGGCTACCTGCTACCTCATCTCACTGCTCTGGGATAGACCATAACACAGACCCTTTGGGAGCTGAAACCAGTTACCCCATCAGATCAGCTGGTTTGATAACATGTATCACAGGTCATTACTCTCTTCCATTTACTTACTACTGAACCCAGTACCTTCAGCGCTCCCGTCTGTGTGCAAAAGAAAGAGGACCAGCCCAGCCACACAATGCTTTCTGACTGAAGGTCACATTTCAGGAAGAAATGGACAGGCTCTGTCCTTCCCTGCTGCTGGCTGGCAGCTGGGGAGGAAGAACAGGAAAGCACTGGGAATGCAGGAAAACAACAGTGGTCATGTTTTCCTTCTTTCTTTCTTTTTTCTTTTTCCTACTCTGGCAGCATTTAACTGGGAACTGTGGGTCATCATCAACTGGTTTCTGGTCACTCCTGGCTGCAGGTGTGGGAGGCACACTCCTGCTGACCCCTTGGGAATGGTATACACGTTTATTTCTGTCTGACATCTGGCAGAGGGGCCGTGCACTGTATGTATGCTCATGAACACTTTCATTTCAGAGCCCCATGAAGTTCAGCTGCTGAAATACTCCTCACTCCCCTCCTCTCCCTGAACCCAGGGGACCCTGTGAGGCACTGCTTACCCAAAGCATTCAGGAGGGGAAGCCAGGGGTGGGAGAGGCTCCTGCAGCACTTCCAACCTTGGAACGTGTTTATGCAGCTATGTGGACTTTGTGAGCATCATGGAGAGCGGGAGGGTCTGGCAGGATTTGCTGTAAAATAACAGTACATTAAATGATTTTCATGAGCAATCCAGATGAGATCAACAGAGCCTCACAATCTCAGACAGACACAAGCCATCTCCTTCCTCTGCTTCTCCAGTCCATCATAGCTTATGTGCTTCTTGGCCAGGTCTGGCCATACCCATCCCTGTTTGGGATGGACTTGCCACCACTCTGTGCCTCACAGAAATCTCTAGTCCAGAAGGCATACATATTTTCCTGTCCTTTCATGTGATTTTTTCCAACTCCCAGTGCTTTAGGAAGAGAGACAGCCAGATGCCACAGTGCTTTAGGAAGCATTTGTTTCCCAAGAGGGTGATCAAACACTGGAACAAGCTCTCCACGGAGGTGGTTGATGCCCCAAGCCTGGCAGTGTTTGAGAGGCATTTGGACAATGCCCTTAATAACATGCTTTAACTTGGTCAGCCCTAAATTGTTGTAGGTCCCTTCCAACTGAAGTATCCTATCCTATCCTATCCTATCCTATCCTATCCTATCCTATCCTATCCTATCCTATCCTATCCTATCCTATCCTATCCTATCCTGTCCTAGTCCATTCCAGTCTAGTCTATTCCAGTTTATTCCAACCTGTTCTGTTCTGCTGTCTTCTGTTTCAGCCGGGAGGGACCTACAGTGATCATCCAGTCCAACTGCCTGACCAGTTCAGGGCTGACCAAGTTAAAGCATGTTATTAAGGGCATTGTCCAAATGCCTCTTAAACATTGACAGGTGTGAGGCATTGACCACCTCTGGAGGAAGCCTGTTCCAGTGTTTGACCACCCTCTCAGTGAAGAAATGCTTCCTAAGCATATTCTATTCTAATCTAACTCCCTCCTAGGCTCCAAGAGACTGAAGCTCACGTGTCTTGTTTTATGGCTGAATTACAGTCAATACACAAATCAGAAGATCTGAAAGTTGTGGAGCTCAAGGCCTGTCTGTGCCCCTGGGAGCAGGGACACTGCTGCCTTGGGACGACTGAGAGGGTCCCCACTCTTCTCCTAAGAACTCAGAAGTAGGGATGGAGAAACCTGCAGGGAATGGGAGTAATGAGGCTTTTATGTGGCATCTGTCTGTCTCACCCAAAATCCTAGCAACAGATCCACACTCCTTTGGGTGCTACATCAAGCAATTCCCTGTGCTCCTCCTTTCTGGGGCTGCTCAAAATCCATGCAAACCTATGCTGTCTAATCTGTACCTCATGGGGAGAGCTTACCCTCCCTACCCCACCAGAGGGATAATGCTTTCCCAGAAGCAACTCTGTCCCACCAGCACTCCTCCCACCAGACATCATCTGTGAATGTCTGGGGAAGCCCTGCATGACAGATGACTGTCCCTTCCTTCCACTCAGCCTAGGGGCTCTAAGGGTAAGGATGGTGGAGGACTTGTCAGCACACAGATGATTTTACAGAGATCTAGATAGCTTTGGCATGCTCCATTATAAAGACTCGTGTACCCCTTCCTCACTGTATTCCTAAAAGGCAGGCATCATCCTGACCCCACGGAGACTGTTCTGACGCGCCTCTGCCAGGGGGAGCCTGGGAGTCCTGAAGGAACGAGAAACTCCCTTGTGTGCTGAGAGGAAACACTATGGTGCAAGGAAGAAATGATGTGGAAGCAAGAGGCAGCCCCCAGCCTGCCACCCCCTACTGATGCAGCCCGGCCCTTCCCGCACAGCGCTGTCCCGGAGAGGAGGG